TTTCGAAGTATTTCTTGATTGGTCGGTAAATTGTAAACGTAAATTATTTTTTTCTTTGATAGCCCTAATAAATAATATATTGTTCTGTCATAATAACAGAAAAGTTACTTTTTTAGTAACTGTAATTGTAACGAGTTAATTTTTAGTCTCGGTAACTTGGAACTGATTACTTTTGAAAAAAAAAAATAATAATAACTGTAACTAGTTATTTTTACAAAGTAACTTTCTCAACCCTGAGCATTTTTGTATAAAAACTTTTTTCATATAGATAACCTTATTTTGAAGATATTTGCTGATATTGGAAAAAGTCTGTTATTTTTGAGAGGTCATTTCGACCTTGAGATAATCAGATAAAAAATATGAGTCTAATGTTTTATGATGCTCTACCACGTCCAAAGCAAACTCGTGATGAACGGTCCGACCGTTCCCTTATCAGAATCAGAAACCTCCGCGTCTTATCTATTAGAATTAAATACTTAGAAGCTAAACGCACAAGAATAAATAGATTTAATTTTAGTTTAAATAGTATTCTATAAATCAAAGAGACGCACGCGCACACGATGTTGTTGAATTGTCACGAATACAGCTAGACGAAGACGGTTCTTCGTGCGATATATTGATCGTCATGATTAACATTAATTAACGTGTGAAATGACATGAGCACAAGTTTCCAGTGCTCTGCGAACGTATATATGCGAATCTAGGCTTATACTTGACACGATAGGAAAATAAATTATATAAACGTTAAATTATGTACGTAGAGTGTATGAGGATCTATGAATCAGAAGATCTATGTATCGGGGAAAGACCCAAAAATGAGTGGAATATATCGATAGACACGGTCCTATAATTTGCTGTCTCTTTGGCGCGAAACAGACCGTTATATATATACCCATATATGCAATAATTTAAGATACTCTAATACCTTAAATTATAGCATTCCAATAATGCCAGTAATCGGGTTCCTGGCAGATTTAATTGATTCAAAGATTCTCGCACAATCTGCGATTAATACACTTTGCACTGTGTTTATGCAATGCAATAATTACTAAGGTGAGTACGACTGAGATTGAGCCGACTGAGATTGAGCCGACTGGGATTTTTCCACGAAGAGCTTTTGCTCCATGCGCATAAACGGTAATATCAAGGAGCCCCGTATGCCGTGTTTCAACTTAATATGTCTTTTCAAGTTGTCAGACCTGGTCAACGATATCAAACATATTTGACATACGTGCTTGTCGGGGTTGTGTGATTTCATGTGCTTTTTTATGTTGGCTACGCTCTTGCCGCACAGCTTACAGCACACCATACCAATCTGCGTGTGCTCTAACTTATTGTGATTGTCTTTACTATTTTCCTTTTTGCAAGTCCTTTTGCAAGGTGGTATTCCTGGAATACAAGGTCCTGTTTCGATGAATTCATCATAATTAATTAACGATGCCAACTGTGTCTACAATTATCATCCCAAAATACGTAAAGATGATCGATTCCCGTTACCATTCTCAATTTCTTTTATTTCTTTGCGCAATGTCTAATGTCTCAAATCCAAGCTCTTTAATTAATTTAAAAAAAAAAAAAAAAATTATACGTATACATGTTCTTGTTAATTGTGTAACTAAGTGTACGAATGTAAAATTATGAAATAAAACATCTCAAAAATAAATGTCAAATTCTTTTTTATTATCAAAATTATCAACTGCCATAAATATAAATATAATTTCTCTTGTAAAATGTTTGAAATGCAAATGTTTTATCACAACTTTTACCTTTTCATTGTAAAATGCAAAAATTATATGAAATATTTAGAGATGTAATTTTTCTCTAAAATAATTTTTTAGAGCAAACATTATTTTAGAAAAATATTATTTTGCTGATCAACACAGATAACAATGTTTAAGTATTAACAAAATTTTAATTGATCATTACACAAAAAAAATATCACAAAAATTTATATTGCAAAAATGTAATATCATTCTAATTCGTAAGATTAAAATTTATTTTATTAATTTTTTTCAAGAAAGAACCTTTTTCACTATTTTATAATATATTTTTAAAAATTGCTTTTATAGTTAACATATTTTTTTTATTTTGCTATTATTCTAATATAAGAAATTGTCATTGCGAAAAGAAATATTTCCGATGATAACGTTAAATAGAACATCCTTTATGCTTCCCATAAGTTACATTCTACGTCAAAAAGTTGCAGAGAAGAAGAAATTCTTTCAAATACGTTCAAAATCAACGAAGATATCATAACGAACACCACACTCGTATTTGTACAGGATAATGTACTAAATAGAATTGCTTGATTATCTTTCTTGTTTTTATAAGCGCTGGAAATATATGAAAATCTTGCTTGATGCGGAGAAGAAATAATGTAGACAAAAAAAATATAGAAAGAGTCTAGGACATGATAATTAAAAAAAAAATTGAAATTCCTTTGCGTCGAAACAAGACAGAAAATCGATCAATTCCATTAAAGACTTCACCCCGTACTTTTTCTCATCTATAATTACCTACTCGTAGCAAATGTCAATACTATGTAAAAAAAAAAGCGCAATTCTACTGTCATTTCATCGCGTTCCAAGAGACTAAAGATACTGTCACAGTACAGTAGAGAAGAGAAAGAAAAGAGAAAGGAGATGTCAAAATTGACCTACTGAAAAGGAAATCGAATGAAAAATAAACATTCAAGTGTGAGAATTCCCCGGCGAGGAGATTCGCCGATTCAACTTCTCGGTAAACGTTCAGTCTGCGGAGATCACGATACGGACTATCGACTTTGTCCCCAGCTCTTAAACACCGCCCATACATAAATTGCTCCGTCGGAGATCAAACGCGCGCATCTCGCGACTACTGGCAACTATTGCATAATGCAGCTCGTGCAACATTTCAGCTAACTAGATGTAATATGAATATGCAATCAAGAAGTACGTAATCTAGTAACTATCAACGTCAGCGGCGGCAACGACGACTACGACTACGACGACGACGGCGACGGCGACGACGACGACGACGACGACGACGACGACGACGATGACGATAACGATAAAGGCAAGATCGCTATGAGGTCGAGGATGCGAAAGATAAACGAAGAATAGCGATAGCAACAAAACCTATTTAACGAGCGATTTAATCGCGTATGCTTCTTCGGATATAATCGTTAGAAGGAAAAAAATGATACCTAGGGTCTTCCTGCTGTTGCTGCTGCTGCTGCTGCCGCTATTAGCGACTATTATTAATGCATTGACGATGCGTAGTGGATAAGAGTCGTGACTATAAATAAGTGTGACGTTTTAATGGAACGAACGATAGAAGATATTTCGCGAAAAGTGAAATTTTACCTGATAAATTCACCTATATACTTTTTATAGATTACGTATATGAAACTTGAATCCTCGGATCTTGCAATCCCAGACTCCATGAAGATCCTCGAGTTAGAGAATTTGCAAATTCTAGAATCTAATAATCTAATTGGGGCATCTTCATTTCTAATTTTAGGATAAGTTTTCGGGATAACTAAATCCTCGGATCCTTCGCTCTTGTTATAATCGCGTTAACCTTCATATCCATTTCGTGATATCAAGTAACGTAACATAGGAAATGTCTTACGTAACGAATTTTTTTTGTCCGCGGCCGGCAACTTTTATTAACGCAAACGACGGATTGCGCAACGAGATGCGCAACGACTGCACATTTTGTTGCTAATATTCTCGTTCACTCGTGTAGATCGAAACGAACAGCGCAAGAGAGACGTGAGAATATAAGATCAAGATCGCCAGGCACGGTGACGCAAGATACGGCAAAAGGGTATATAAGAGAATAGGAAATAAAAACAGCACATAAAGACATGCACAGAGAGTCCCGCCATGGAAGTATCGCATATATACGTACATCTGCGTCTGCTGCATGTGCACACAGTGTACGTATATATGCTGTATATATGTATATGTCTTATATATAATATATATGACATAAGTATGTACATATCTCATTTCGCACACACGACACACATTTACACGCATTCACGCAAATGAAGTTCGTTAATGTGGCATCACGCATTCGCACGCACACGCGTCACGTGCACGTGTAAGAACAGCGAGATGAACTCAGCCAAACGCACCCACACACCATCACAATCTCGGACACGGATTTAAAAAAAAAAAAAAAAAAAAAAAAAAAAGAAAAACAGATAGGAGTACAGTCCATTTGCTGATACCAGTCCCAAACCAACGAGAGTTTTGTTATGTTTTATTTCTTTCTGTATATGTATTAACACACGTAATTAAAACTACCACAATGACGTAGCAAATGCACGATACCATCACCACAACACCAAGGG